GCAAACTTAGATGCACACGGCAGGTAGCGTCAGAAAGCTGCGTGTGTTATTCCGGTCACTAAATGCGGTGAAAATCCTACACGAGGTTAAAGTTTGGTTGTGGTGCTAACATGTTTACACTCGGTGCAATAGTTAACTTAGTTCGAACAAACTGAATAAACAAAGAGCACTGGTCGCTCACTTACCAAATCTGTAGAGACAGGACAATCACCAGCAACTAGAGCCGCGTCTTTATTAAGAGGAGACTACAAGCGAATCCGGATCTCAGCGTTTGCAGATGAGAACAGCTCTCAGGTAAACAATAATCCTCCTTAGACACGTAAGTTATTGTTGTCGAGCGTCGCGTACACTGTTAATCCACACGTGACTCCAGCTGAGCTCTCACAGAGAGAAAATGAAAACAAAACTTCACTGCAGCAAACTATAAAAGCAACACTTCACGCTTGTTTTGCCAACACAACGTGGCGTCTCTGCCGTCTAAACACTGTGACAGTAATGAATATTAATGAAGTTGCACAATAGAGCGCGCTGATTGGTTTAAACCAAGCTTTACTCATGCATTAATGCAGCACACTGTAAGACGTAATAAGACTCACTCTGGCACAGACGCCCAGTCTGCACGCTGGAATACACGCTATTATGTCATGACCGTGACGCAGCTTCAAAAATTAGTTTCAAACCGGAAGCACGAATTTGCTTGAAATAACGCAAAAACAACTAATTTAGTCTTTTTAGTGAAATATAGGTGTCCTAATAGTGTTTTTAGCAGTGTGGGACACATATACCACTGTCAACAGCTCAACACATGTGTTTTGGTGTTTTGTGACCCTTTAACATCTTAAGGCAACATCGTAAACAGTATAAAGGTTTGAGTTTAAGAATGTTCAGGGTTCAGTCTGACTCCGGTGAACCCAAGGTACTGCCATGTATTTTGAGACTGCTATGCTGAATAAACATCTTCATTGAGATTTTCTTCGTCATCATCATTTTTTCTTACAAAGGGTACAGAATAGTGCGCATTTGCCTTTTAAAGCGCCATCTACTGGTGCTTCGATAAACAGACGCAGGCAAGATTTTCCGCCATTGAATGTGTGCAAATTAACGATGAAAATGACTATTTATTTATTTATTTATTTATTTTTGCTCTTTTTTACTTTAGTAAACTTTTCAGTGATTGTTGTTAGTTTTTTTTTATTTGTTGTTAATTTTTTATTAAATTTCAGGTAACGAACATGTTTTTTTGACCAATAGTTTTAGTTGAAATTAACCAGGTTAACCCATATCATGGTGGCGGCAACGCAGTGGCGCAGTAGGTAGTGCTGTCGCCTCACAGCAAGTAGGTTGCTGGTTCGAGCCTCGGCTGGGTCAGTAGGCGTTTCTGTGTGGAGTTTGCATGTTCTCTTCATGTTGGCGTGGGTTTCCTCCAGGTGCTCCGGTTCAGTCCAAACACATGCTGTACAGGTGAATTGGGTAGGCTAAATTGTCCGTAGTGCATGAGTGTGAATAAGTGTGTATGGGTGTTTCCCAGAGATGGGTTGCAGCTGGAAAGACATCCTCTATGTAAAACGAATGCTGGATAAGTTGGCGGTTCATTCCGCTGTGGTGAGCCCGGATTAATAAAGGGACTAAGCCGACAAGAAAATGAATAATTATGAATATAATTACTTATATTTGCTCATTTTTATTTTATTTCAGTGATTTTTTTGGTGATTGTTGTTAGTTTTGTTTTAATTTGTGTTTTTTTTTTTTATTTCAATTAACAAAATTTTTTTTTAATCAATATTTTTGGTTTTATTTTACTAAAATAAACCTGGTTAACTCATACCATGGCGGCGTATGGGTCAGTTTGACGATGGATATATGCACTTGTTGTAAACTTCAAAATAAAAGTCACCATCACAACTCCTTTATACAGCACGGAAGAGGCAGAATAAAATGTAAAACTACTTCAAACTGTGTTCATCTGACAGAAAAAAGCCATATACACAGAGAATGGGGTATAAAATGGGGTAATTTTCTTATTTTTTGGGGGGTGAAATGTACCCTATTATAAATTAAAAAATGAAAACAAAACAAACAAGCTACCATTTCTCAAAGTATCTTAATTTTTACGTCCCACAAAAGAAATATAGTTTGACCATGTGAGTATATAATTTGGGGGATGGACTGTCTCTTTAAGAGCGCACGCATCAGCAGAGCACCTCTTCATGTGGAACAGACCTTTGATTTGTCGAGGCCCGTCGATATGCATCTCGGCCTGGTCTCCGCTTATCATCTCTCCTGTGCTGCAGGCGGCAGATGAACGTTTGTAGAGGCCCCTCTGGACTTCGTCGAACACCAGGAACATGTTGTGCACTCGTGCCGTGTAACCTGCCAGCTCAGTGACCTAAAGCACACAGGACGAGTGTCGGTGAGTGGAGTGATAATGAAAGGTTTCCAGGTCGAGGTGACACAACTGTAGATAACTTTACACAACTGCTGTTGGTCACATTCGAAGTAAGAGACCAGCATGGACTTGTATATGAATCTCTTTGGATTTATATGTGTTTACAGTTATATATACATATATACATATATATATATATATATATATATATATATACACACACAGTTGAAGTCAAAATTATTTACCCCCCCCTGTATATTTTTTTCTCCAATTTCTGTTTAATGGAGAGCAGATTTCTTCAACACATTTTTTAATCATAATAGTTTAATAACTCATCTCTAATAACTGATTTATTTTCTCTTTGTCATGATGACAGTAAATAATATTAGACTAGATATTCTTCAAGAGACTTCTATACAGCTTAAAGTGACATTTAAAGGCTTCACTAGGTTATTTAGGGTAACTAGGCAGGTTAGGGGAATTAGGCAAGTTATTGTACGATGATGGTTTGTTCTGTAGACTAACCATCAAAAATATACATAGCTTAAAGGGGCTAATAATATTGACCGTAAAATGGTGTTTAAAAAATTAAAAACTGCTTTCATTCTTGCCGAAATAAAACAAATAAGACTTTCTCCAGAAGAAAAAATATTATCAGACATACTGTGAACATTTCCTGAATCTGTTAAACATCATTATTATTACTTTTTTATTTTGAGGTTTTTAAATTAATTTACTTTCTTTATTATTATTATTACTTCTTATTTAAATTACTTATAGTTATTATTATATCACACTATATAATTAGAATATTTGTTCTTATTTATTTTTTTAACTCTTTATTTATTTATTTTTTTTACAGTTTGTTTTTACTTTTTTATTATAATTTTTATTACAAGTATTATTATTAAATTATTTTTATGTTGTTTATTTTATATTTAATTTTCCTTAATTTAAATATTATTTAAAAAACGAAAAGCATAAATAAATAAATAAATGTGAAACTATAATAATAATAAGAATGAATAAATAATGAAATAATTTAATTAAATAAAATATGAATCGACCAATCAATCAATAAATCAATAAATAAATCAATCAATCCATCAATTAATTCATTCAATTGAATTAATTAATTTAGATTTTATTTATTGAATTATTTAATTATTCATTCATACTTATTATAGTTTCACATTATTTATTTATTTATGCTTTTTGTTCTTTATTTAATATTTAAATTAAACTGAAATTATAGTGTGTTTTGGGGTTATTTAATATTTACTTCACTTTTTATAGTTTGTTTTTGGATTTATTTGGTTTTATTTTATTTTACAGTTTGTTTTTTATGTTTCCATTAATTAATTAATTAATTAATTCATTCATTCATTTATTCATTCATTCATTCTCTTATTTAAATTTACATTTATTTATTTATTTAACTCTTAATAAATTTTTTACAGTTTATTTCTAGATGTATTTTTATTTTTATTACAAGTATTATTATGAAATAATGTTTATTACGTTATTTTATATTTAGATTTTTTTTCTAATTAATTTATTCATTCATTTGAATTCATTTATTGAACTATTTGTGTTTTTTATTCATTCTTTCATTTTCTTTTCGCCTTAGCCCCTTAATAATCAGGGGTCGCCACAGCCAAATGAACCGCCAACTTATCCAGCATATGTTTTACACAGCGGATGCCCTTCCAGCAGCAACCCAACACTTGAAAACACCCACACACACAATCATTCACACACACACTCATACACTACAGACAATTTAGCCAACCCAATTCCCCCATAGCGCATGTGTTTGGACTGTTTGGAAACCAAAGCACCCAGAGGAAACCCACGCCAACACGGGGAGAACATGCAAACTCCACACAGAAAAGCCAACCGGCCCAGCCAGGACTCGAACCAGTAACCTTTTTGCTGTGAGGTGATCATGCTACCCTCAGAGCCACCATGATGCTCTATTCATGTTTTTATTTACTTTATTTAATTATTATTTAATTATGGTACATAATTAAAGCTTTTTTGGATTATTTATTTATTTCACTTTATTTGTTTATAGTTTGTGCTGAGTTTATAATTTCATAGTTTGTGTATATAATTAATTTTTTTAATTATTTAATTATTCATTTATTTATAATAATAATAAAAATAATAATAATAATAACTATTATTATTATTATTTATTATTATTATTTATTATTATTATTATTATTAATATTATTATTATAGTTTCAAACTATTTACTTGTTTATTTATTCATTTCTACTTAGTTATTTTTTTAATAATTTTTTAATTAAACAAAAATTATAGTGGCAGCACGGTGGCTCTGTGGTTAGCACTGTCGCCTCACAGTTAGAAGGTCGCTGTTTCGAGTCCCAACTGGGTCAGTTGGCATATCTGTGTGGAGTTTGCATGTTCTCCCCGTGTTGGCGTGGGTTTTCCTCCGGGTGCTCCGGTTTCCAAACAGTCCGAACACATGCGCTATAGGGGAACTGATGAATTAAATTGGCCGTAGTGTACAAGTGTGTGCATGAATGAGTGTGCATGGGTGTTTCCCAGTGCTGGGTTGCAGCTGTGTAAAATATATGCTGGATGAGTTGGCGGTTCATTCTGCGGTGGCGCCCCCTGATGAAATAAAGGGACTAAGCCCTTATTTATTTGTTTATATTTATTTTCAGCACAAAGATCAAAGAGTGTTAGCCCCTCCCCCACTGATCAGCCAGCTGTTCTTTACGACTCCTACTTGTCTGAAGGCTCGTTGGAACAATAGATGCGAGGAAGGCGACATATACACTCATTCATCTACATTCTCTACATTTCTAATGGCCTAGCTCAGCTCGTTCAACACTTTCACCCCTTTTGAAGTCGTCCACTAATGATCTAAAGGGCTTCAGCGGTTTTGTAAGAGAGCAGGTATTTGGAGCAATTACGCAAACCTGCGCTGAAATCTCAATCAGAACTGCGACTCTGTCTCGGCTAAACCTATTGTGTGACGCTTTATGAATCAATGCTTTGCACGGCGCTGGCCTGAATGCTTAATCCGAAGCATGTGTTGGGAAGTGTTTAGCGAGTGTTTTTCCGTGTTTAGGCAGACACACCACATCCCGAGAGCCTCAGCATGAAACACAGAGCTTTCCTTCGGGACCTCAGTGAAGTCAACAAGAAAGATTCATCTGCTGAGAGTCACTCGTTCACTGACGATTCCAATATGCTATATATATATATACACAGTTGAAGTCAAAATTATATTTTTTATATATTTATTTTTTGTATTTTTTTTGTAAATATTTTTTATATATATTTTTTTGTATTTTTTTGTAAATATTTTTTATATATTTATTTTTTGTATTTTTTTGTAAATATTTTTTATAAATTTATTTATTGTATTTTTTTGTAAATATTTTTTATATATATTTTTTTGTATTTTTTTGTAAATATTTTTTATATATTTATTTTTTGTATTTTTTTGTAAATATTTTTTATAAATTTATTTATTGTATTTTTTTTGTAAATATTTTTTATATATTTATTTTCTTTTTTTTTTTCTCCAATCTCTGTATAACGGAGAGCAGATTTCTTCAACACATTTCTAATAATAATAGTTTTAATAACTCATCTCTAATAACTGATTTATTTTATCTTTGCCATGATGACAGTAAATAATATTAGACTGGATATTCTTCAAGACACTTCTGTACAGCTTAAAGTGACATTTAAAGGCTAAACTAGGTTAATTAGGGTAACTAGGCAGGTTAGGGTAATTAGGCAAGTCATTGTATAATGATGGTTTGTTCTGTAGACTATCGGATAAATATATAGCTTAAAGGGGTTAATAATATTGACCTTAAAAAGGTGTTTAAAAAATTAAAAACTGCTTTCATTCTTGCCGAAATAAAACAAATAAGACTTTCTCCAGAAGAAAAAATATTATCAGACACACTGTGAACATTTCCTGAATCTGTTCAACATCATTATTATTTTTTTTTAATTTTGAGGTTTTTAAATTAATTTACTTTCTTTTTTATTATTATTACTTTTTATTTTAATTACTTATAACTATTATTATATGATACTATATAATTAGAATATTTGTTCTTATTTATTTTTTAACTCTTCATTTATTTATTTATTTTTTTTACAGTTTGTTTTTACTTTTTTATTATTATTTTTATTACAAGTATTATTATTAAATGATTTTTTTTATGTTGTTTATTTTATATTTAATTTTCCTTAATTTAAATAACAAAAAGCATAAATAAATAAATAAATAAATAATGTGAAACTATAATAACAATAAGTACGAATAAATAATGAAATAATTCAAGTAAATAAAATATTAATCAATCAATCAATTTATTCATTCATTTAAATTTAATTAATTTATATTCTTATTTACTTTAATTATTTATTATTCATTCAAACTTAATACTATTATAGTTTCACATTGCTTATTTATGCATTTTGTTCTTTAATTAATATTTAAATTCAACTGAAATTATAATGTGTTTAGCTGTTCGTAGCGCTTTGTGCGCGAGAAAATCACCTCATAAATAAGATGTATTGTTATAATTCATTCATTATCCTTCGGCTTAGTCGCTTATTTATCAGGGGTCGCCACAGCGGAATGAACCGCCAACTATTCCTGCATATGTTCCAGCTGCAACCCAGTACTGGGAAACACCCACACACACTCATGCACTACTTATAAATAGCATGTGTGGGGCTGTAATGGCCACACTCAGCATCTGTGACTGATGCTTTCTGTTCAACAGATGGTGGATTAAGTCGCCCGGCAGGCTTAGTTAACAGAGTCGCAGTTGATACCAGTGCAGATCGCTAGATTCAAAGCTTTCACTGCAGCGTGACATCACATCCTCTGTGGTTTTGGTTGTGCCTGTAGTGACGACCTAGCCATTAGAAATACTGCTGCATAAGAGTATTGTTTCTGTCACTACAGTGAGTCTGGATGTTCTACAGTTAGTATATTAGTCTCTAATGCTCACTAATGATTAGAACTAGTCCAACTATAACTAGGCTGTAATCTATCTGTCTATAATATTATGATATAACTATATTATATAACTGTTTTGAAATAATATTACAGTTTAAATGATATTAATATATATATATATATATATATATATATATATATATATATATATATATATATATATATATTAAGGGTGTCACGATCCTCCAAATCCTCGATTCGATTACATTTTCGATTCTAAAGGCACGATTCGATTTTCGATTATGAATAATTAATTAATTAATGACCAGTTAATTATTAGTAGCCTACCGTTTAAACTACCTGACCTGCATGGTCTTTGTTTTACCCATAAACAAATCATACAGTAAATGAATAAAGGCAAGATACACACATGATTACCACCTGTCAATCACTTTTTTCTGCGGGACTCGTGAATAGGCAGTGATCTGTGTCGTTATAATGGCGTCGGTAAAAAAGACGCACAACCAACAGGAACCAGCCAACAGTATCTGAGGTGTTCACTAAAATGACTAAGTACAAGTGAGTGAAAGATTGAAGCAGTCCTCTGACTGCCTGGACCTGCTGTCTCGAGCGCATGGCTGTGTGTGCGTCTGTGTCTGTGTGGTCACGTGATGTGCATTTTCAGAGGTAGAGAGGAAGGAGGGCTGCTCAGAAACACCACTGTGGATGTCGAATCGTTGTCGTTCTAAAATGCCATTTAAAAACAAAGACAGTGTAAACAGGGCCTGAGTGTGAACTTTTCGCCAGCGGATTTGCAACGGGGGCGGGCGGAGGATCGAGATGCCGGTGTTGTCTATCGGACGAACCGTACGTAATACGTACATAGCAGAGCTTGCAAAACTGTGTTTTTTGTCGACAACACGAACGTTGTCAACATAACTCACTGGAAATCCAAAATGCTTCCACACCGGCGACTTCATTGAAAGAGGAGAGGGTTTAAGCTCTGTCGACGGGTCTCCTGCTTCTGCAGTTTAACAAGCACTTCAACAAGCCTGTTATTTTCCCGCTTGGCAAGACAGCTGACGAGACATGGGGGCGTGGCAGCATCGACGATTCTATTTTTTGATTCGATAATCGAAATTGAGCATAAATTTCGATCGATTTCGATTTAAAAATTGAAATTGTGACACCCCTAATATATATATATATATATATATATATATATATATATATATATATATATATATATATATATATATA